AATGCGAAGAGCTCTGGCGCCAGGGTGACGCCCCAGAGGCAGGCCCTGCTTTGCCAAAGGAAAGTTTCAAGCGAAGGCAGCTGCTCAAGGACTCGGCTCGAGGAATCCCCCCCGACTTCGATTCGGTTGAGTTGGTTTACGGGTTGCCGTTTCAGCATGTGGTGTTGGAGCCAGTCCCGAGCGTGCTGCCTGTTTTTTTTCTTGGGGGGCCACCCACCTTCCTTGGGGTAAACGAGTCTACACTGACGGCTCTGGCCACGCCAACGGGGTCCCCGAGATGGCCCGCTGCGGCTGGGCGGTCGTCGAGATGTCGGCCCGTGGATGGCCGATCAGGGCCCTTTATGGAGGCCTCGCGGGACGGTGCCAGACGGTGCCACGAGCCGAACGGCAGGCCCTCTTGGAAGCTTTGAAGGTGGTCCCCCCTGGAGCTGAATTGGTCTCGGACCACCGCTCGGCGGTGACCGAGGGCAACAGCTGGGATCCAGCCTTGGCGACGGGAGCGTACAAGCACGCGTCGGTCTGGAGGCAAATGTTTAAAATCGTCGGAACGAAGGAAAGACCTTCTTTCCGTTGGACCCCCGCCCATGGAGATCTGGACGAAATTTTGGAGGGCCAGTGGTCGTTTGATGGGGCTGGTGTTTCGCGTGAGTCCGATCTCCTTGGGGACGGATGGGCGGACTTTTTCGCGAAGCTGGGGGCTGCTCAGATCCGTGCGGCCGAGAGCGCGGTCGAGGCAGTCAGAGTTGGCCTCGGCGAGGCCAAGCTGAATTTGGATTTCATATCGCGGGCGGCCCAATTCGTGGCCGCGTCTTCGGTCCCCGAACCGAGGCCGCCTGCCAGGCCGAGAAATACCACGGCCCCTCCTCTGGCCCTGATGGCCCACGACCTCGAAACGATCCCGTCTGGATGTGTGCGCTGCACATGGTGCCATAGTATCGCGAAGTCGGCTGGCGGCCGCGCAAGGCTGGAGCAGCCAAGCGCAATCTGCAGGCCGACCGATCTGCACTTGTTTTTAGCTGCCGTCCGACATCACCGCCTCGGAGGCGTCCTCCCTAGGGCGCGAGGCGAGGCGGTGCGTCGAGCGTGGCAGGCCCTCGGCTTCGAGGGAGAGCAGGGAGAGGCTGTCGCCCCGCCGTCGGTCTTCCACTTCCTGCAGCACCAGGTTGCGGCTGTTGGCCGCTACCTGATCTGTCAGCGTTGTGGGGCCCACGCGCTGATCGAGGCGCCGAGCTGGCGTGCCCTGCTCCAGGCCTGCACGGGACGCATGTCCAATGACCAGCGGTGGTTCCTGGACCGTGTCAGTGCTGGGCGCGAGCCCCGATAGTGGCGAGCAAGGATGGGCCGACCCTGGGGGTTAGCCCACTGCCTGCTTGCCCCTCCCTGGGGCTCGTGGTTTCCTTGCGGGCGGTGCTGCACTGAGCACCTGCCCATTCCTTTCGGTTGAGAGGCATGCCTCTCGGTGTGTCGCGGCCAGCGCCCGAACTGACGAGCGCTCGCATCGGCGTGGAACGTGGAATCGTAGTCGCGATCGTAGTCGTAATCGTAACCGTCGTCGTCGTCACGGCGGAGGATATTTCCCCTTTCTTGTTGTACGGGCTTGATGATGTTGGGGGCTTCTGTCTCCCAGGGAAAACTCCAGAAGGGGCTACCCTATACGCCCAAAGAAATGGAAACATCTTATCATGCATATTGGAATAGAAACCAACGGCTGTGGTTGTAGTCGTGATTGCAATCATGATTATAATCGTGATTGTAACCGTCATTGTAATTGCGATTATAGTCGCTATGGAAGTGATGGTTGTAATCGTGGTTTTAGTCGTCATCGTAATCGTAGTCATTATCGTCGTCGTCGCGGCGGAGATTGTTTTCCTCCATTGTTGGGCGGACTGGGTAATGTTTGGGGGGGTTTCTCCCAAGAAATCTTGCACCCTGTACCCTGCACGGCAGGGGAATTCTGAGAACGGTGAATAGATCGATTCATGCCTCGCCGAAGACGTTGTTCACAATCTCCTCCTTCATCTCGTCGTCGTTTTTGTGCGGCGGGTGCCGCTTGGAAGGAACAATTTTCCACTATCGGTGGGACAAAACAGTCTGTCAATGAAGTCGCCGACAATTATAACTCGTATACTCGTGGAGCGAGGTTTTCTAAAGACCCAGCTCGGTGACCCGGGAGAGGGGGGAGGTGTGGCCCAGGTAACGTACGCAGGAAGCATCTATATACCACCACTGTGCCAGGCCAGGGCCACCCTGGGCCCCAGGATGGTGCATACGCCCTCCTGGCCGAGCCAGGAAGGTCTATACACCATTCTACGGCCCAGGATGGCCCTGGCCTGGCACGGTGGTGGTGTATAGATGCCTTCGTCGGGTAACGAGCGCTGCCCTGGGGGGGAACAGGAACGCCCACGAAGGGGCACGAGACCCCTCCGAGCGCCACGGCGTTCCCGAGGAGTGCAGGAGGCACGGGTCGCGCAGCACAGGACACGAGGGTACCCTCGACGTGGCAGGGTCGCCCTGCTGATCTTGTGGATGCCATGACAGTGGACACTCGAACAATCCTATCATTGAATTAGCGTTGTGCTTAAAATGTGTAAAACATGCTATAAACACAGGAAGGTTTCAAACATGCTTTTACACATGTAAACCATGTTTGAAACATGCTTCAGACATCTGGGAATGATTTGGCAGCATGCTTCCTCTCCATTAATCGACTTCCACTCTGGTGCGCGGCCTGCCGATCGATGCGCGAGGCGCGACAGTGGCGGCCGGCGCGCTCGGGCTTGGACTGCCCCACGCCCTCTAGAGGCCGCGCACGCAGGGGCACCCCCGCGAGGAGCCGCTCTCGCGCGCAGCCGAACCGGCCCCCGTCCGTACATCTCGCAATATACAAGGCAACATCTAATACATGGGATTCTTAAAAAATATATGACTTGAAAGCATGAATGATTGATGCATGAACTTATGCATGAACTCATCGTTGTTTTTACTACTGAATTCCTGCATTTGTTGTACATGATCTGCACGCGGAGCATGTCTTAAAAACGGCACTGTACGTGCAACACAAGCGCTTGACGGGGCAAGGCAGTCGGCCAAAGCTCGCCGGGAGAACGCAAGCCAAGCCCACGTCGACATCCGATCGCCGAATGGTCTTGCGTGTGTGTGTCCTGCGCTGCTGCTTTCGTTGATGTGTCCGTGGGGGGGGTCCTCGTCACCATAGATCGAGCCCCCGTCGGGTACAACTTAGAACGGGTTGTGGCCTGGGTGGCGAGTCCCGTGCGTAGTAGACTGGGCTTTAGCCTTCGCGGAAATGGGCGGCAAGGCTATCACGCAAATATTCCCACCAATTCGCGCAACAACATCGTCAGCGTTGCAAACATCTACCGCCACCTCCATACGAAAAGCTGTCGTCGCACCATATGGGCATTATCCGATCACCAGCATGAAACTTCCATTACGCGCGCTAGTGGGGCCGTTCACGCTGGCGATGGTCGCTCCCGCTGCTCACGTATGACAGCAATTCACCCGCGGCAGTATTTGCATAGGAAACCGCGGACGCCCATATTCTGACATATGCACAGATAAATCACTAGTGAAGTTATCTGTCTACCATCCGGATCCACGCATGCAGATCCTAATCATTAAGGTTAGGTCGGGCCTATGGCGAACAGCTCAACATACCCAACAATACACCAAAAATGTTCATAGTCAAAAAATAGTCCCCCGACTGTGTTTTGACTATTTTTGAATATTCCCAGGCCCGACTTAATATTACAGTAGGGTTTTTATGCGTGGATGCACCCTTTGTCATTCTGCCTGGCAGTCGGCCTCACGGCGATCAGTGTTGTGGGTGGAACAGCGGCGGCCCACTCGTATCCCCTACCTCCAGATCTTCTCAGTACGAGGGAGAACTCCGCTGCCCCTCGCGAGAGCTGCTCCGTGCCAGACTCGGACCGACTGTACACCCATGCGCTCCGTAATCCCAAGGTGAACCCAAGACTTCCAGCAGCAAGCTACACTTTTTTACTAGCTCGAGAAGGTCGCCCCGTGGCTGAAGGAAGAAGAGGGCAACAGCAGGGGAGGGGAGGAGAAGGAAGAGAAGGCGGCAGCAAAAGCAAGCAGTGCAGTCGCGGCCCGAGCGCTACCCTAAGCATGAGCGAAGAACTGCTCCAATCGCACCCCCCATCTCCAATCTAACAAAAAAAGCTGCGGAGAAGCGCTGGCACGTCTTGGCGGGGCACCGCCCGGTAGGCGACCTCGGCCGTGAAGGCACGCGGGGACACCCATGACGGCGCGGCCACGGCGGTCGGGCAGCGCTGGAGATGCACGTGCACCGCATGCCGGGCCTTGGCCCTGCCCCTGCGAAGGGCGACACCTCTACGAATGCTGTGCCCGCTCGTGCCGCGTGCGCAGCTGCGGGGGGGCACTTCGGCGGCAATCGCTGCTGGCGGCGCAGGCCACCCTTCCTCGCGGCGCCAGGGGAGCCCGCGCCCCCCGTTCTGCCCCCGCACCCGTGCGCCGCACGCCGGGCCGCCGACGGGCGCCTCCGCGCGGGGGGCGCCCTGCAGCCGCGCGGGGCTCGGGGCACGGACGAGGAAGTGCACGACCTCGAAGGGTTCTGCTGCACGACCTCGGAGGCACGACGGGGAGGAAGTGCACGGCCTCGACGAGGAGGTGCACGACCTCGGAGGCACGACGAGGAAGTGCACGACCTCGAGGCATGGACGGCCTCTCCCTCCCCGAAGGCTTCTGTTGCTCCCGTCGAGCTGAGGGACCTCATCCCAGAAATAGCTTCGAGCACCCAGAATAAGTGTCCAGAGAGTGCCGAACCAGTGTCGGACGAGCGACTCCGGGGGCCTGGCGCGTGAAAACCCTCGAGTTTCGGTGCTCTTCTGGTGCTCGAAACTCTTTCTGGCGGTCAAGGCTAGAGTAGGTTGGAACATCATAAGGCCAGAGGCATGGACGAGGAAGTGCACGACCTCGCCTCTCCCTCCCCGAGGCCCCTCCCTGGGGTGGTCGATGAACGCCGCCTGCTTCTCGCTGACGGCCTCGAACCTCGGCCGGCAGCTCTTGAGGCCGCGAGGCCGCCGTCTCTGCGCAGCCCTCTGGCGCCGGTCCACTCGCTGCTGCCTCCTACTCGCAGGAGGGGGGGGAGCGTGATGGCAGGAGCGGGAGGGTGGGGGAGGAGGCCGCGGAGGGAAGAGGAGCATGAAGACGAGACGACGAGGAGAGGAAGGGAACCGATGGAGGCAGGAGGTGCGGGGAAGGGATGCGGGAGGGTGTGAGAAGGCATGGGGGTGGGAATTGGCGATGAGCCAGGGGGGAGTGAGAAAAGGCGGGCCTTCTCAGGAGGCTCGGAAGTCCTCCGGCCTTTTGGGACGTGGCCTAAGCCTTCCCCGAAGACACGAACAAGTTCTCAGAAGGTGCGAGGGTTTCTGAGAAGTCCCGCCGCCTTCTAGGAGGCCTTCTCAAAGTCATACCCACGTCGGGAGAACTACATCAAGCAAAAAAATGACAGGCCGATCTGCACCACACCGCTCTTATACAACCTTTTCAACCGACTCCTATACAATCGATTGCAGCCTATACTAGACAAGCGGCAGAGCGATGATCAAGCAGGTTTCCGACCGGGACGCTCTACGACTGATCATCTCTTTGTTTTCAACACCGTCCGGGAGAGAGCCTGGGAGTGGAACCAACCACTATGGATAGCAGCGCTGGATTTTCAAAAGGCGTTTGATTCGATTGAACACACAAGCCTATGGGCGGTTTTGCTTGAGCAGGGGGTAGACACAGGGTACGTGCACACACTACGACGCCTCTACCACGGTCAATCGGCTACAGTGCAGACAGACGTCTCGAGCCGCCCATTCAATTTGCTACGAGGCACCAAACAGGGCGACCCACTCAGCTCGTTGCAGTTCAATCCTGTTCTCGAACACATCATGGTCCCGTTGGTCGCAAAATGGCGGGACCAAAACTCGGGGTGCAGCTGGGGCACACCTGGGCGTCCAACATGACAAACCTTCGTTTTGCAGACGATGTGCTGTTGACAAGCCAATCGCTACCAGGGCTTGCGGAGATGTTGGGCGATATGATTGGGGCTGCCAAACAGCATGAGCATGGCCTTTTGCTACGCCCGGAGAAAGCAAAGATAATGTCGAATCTCACCCGACGGGCTGGGAGATGCAAAGGTCCCAACGTGGACGTCGGCGGCATGAACATTGAGATTCTACCATTCGCTGGGGCGGTCAAGCACCTCGGCCAGATGTAGGAGGCCTAGAAATGGGCACCAACACCAACACAGGGGGGTGCCTCCACCAGGGGGGAGGCGATCCTCGATTTCGGTGTTGGTGGTAATATTTCGGTCACCTTGGAAGCCAGAATATTACCACCATCACCGAGATCGGGATCTTCTTCCCACGGTGGAGGAACACCGCCGATATTGGTGTTGGTGTCAACCTCGAGGCCTGCGAAAATGATCAGCTTTAGCGAGCCAGCGCAGACCGAGGGAAACCACCGCATCAGGGCAGCGTGGGCGACTTTCACAGCTCACCGGCAGGAGCCAACAAGCAAACATTACCCACTCAAAAACCGACTCCGGCTTTTCCACGGCACAGTCACCCCAAGAGTGCTGTATGGTTCAGCTGCGTGGGCATTGACGGAGCCTCTTGAGCAACAGCTCCGCAAGACTGAAAAGAGAATGTTTCGCAGGATTGTGAACACACCACGGCGGCGGTTACGACGAGATTGACGTATTTCTGGCGCCGGCGCCTCTTTTCTCGAAGCTCCGACGACGATTCACTTACAATCGAATCCAGGCACGGCCGCTGCACATCAATCGAGCACAACCGACGACTCTGATATCGACAGCAATCCACCACCACCCGGATCCTCACCAGCAAGCGACGTGGACAGCGACAGCGACGCGGACAGAGAGGAGTCTTGGGTCGATTCATTCGACGGTCGACACATCGTCCTGAATATCTCATGCGGCTGCACAGCGTCAAGGATTGGGTGACAGAGCAACGCCGTTTACTCTGGAGGCTCGCGGCGCAAGTGGGAGTACACCCCGTCACAAGATGGACGCAAAGAGCGGTACAGTGGCACCCCAACCACACGGCAAAGAAAACAATTTATCGCAACCGCGGTGGTCAACATAAACGGTGGGAGGACGAAATCCGGACGTTTCTGGGCGAGTATGTGTGTGACAACACCATTCCAGGTCATCAACGGAGAGGACATGGCGATACTAACGACACCACTTGGCTCAGCATTGCGAAGCAACGTGCAACTTGGCAGAGCATGGAGATCCAATACGTGAGTGCGAAGTGAGAGCACGTGCACATGGTTTCACACCTTCTTCACGAGGGGCTACGGCCCGACTCGTCCCGCCCAAGTGGGCGCGGCCCTGCGACCACTGGGGCCGGATGGACGCTCGCTCGCTCGCTCGCTCTGAGAGGCCTTCTCCTTCTCGCTCCCCCCACTCGCTCGCCGCCGAGGAGAAGAGAGGGCGGGGGAAGGGAGAAGGGCGGATGCCAGTGGGACAGCGGCCCTGGTGGTGCAGAGGAGGGCGGGCATGACTATACACAGAAAAGACACCGACGCTCGCCGAGCATGCTGCTCCGCGGGGGGTGGGCAGCGACGGAGGGAGAACGCGCGGCGGAGGGCGACGAAGACCTCCTTTTCTCCCCGTTACTCCTTTGTCTCGGACTCTTTTGAAGGGAAACTGGGACACACACAAATGCATACACACCAATTAAAAGATTCCGCATATTTCCCTATATTTTCTGGGTTTTTGTCTTCCCCACCACTTCCCATATGTTCCCATATTCTCCGGGGGATCGACGATTAATTGTGTCTGTGTGTTCTTTCCCCTCCTGATCTTTGTCCTCAATACGACGGGCCCGAATTCTCGACGCATTCCCTGGGGCCGGTTTGGCATCCTTGGTATTCGATGGCCCAAGAAGCGAAAAAACGGGCGGCCTCCAGACGTCGAGAACTGAGAAGCACATGAGTCGAGGCGGAGCGTCACCTCATCAAGCTTGCCCCAAAGCGCTGCGCCAGCTAAGGAAAATGCACTGCCCACTGAGACGGAGAGGACAGAGGGAGGATGAGGGACAGCATGCGACTCAAATAGTCCGTGCTTCAATTCAAACTGGGCTCCATCGTGCCACCGCTGTAGTGGACGACAAGTTGCTAAACTCGTATCCGTTCGACTGGCATAAACGCTGTATCTGTTCAGCTGGCCTCTCAAGTTTTGGAGCCAACGATTGCCTTGCCAACGAAATAGCTGCGCCGCGCAAAAACGACTGTGCCGTGGAGGCTTGACATGATCAGGCCATTCAAGGCACCGAGAGCAATGACTGCGGCTCCACTGGCGCCTCTGTCGGCAGAAGCGCATGGCCTCACGAGCCCTGCGGCAAAACTACTGCGGCGTTTTCCCCACCACTACGTCACAGCCGGCGCAGGCGGTGCACCCTCTTGAGCCTGCATGGTTTCCCCCCAGGGCCGTAGGCGACCCGAGGAGGAGGGGGAGGAGGAGGAGGAGGAGGAGGAGGAGGAGGCGGAGGCGGAGGCGGAGGCGGAGGAGGAGGAGGAGGAGGAGGAGGGAGGAGGGAGGAGGAGGAGGAGGAGGAGGAGAGGAGGAGGAGGAGGAGGAAGGAGGGGGAGGAGGAGGGGGGGGAGGAGGAGGAGGAGGAGGAGGAGGAGGAGGAGGAGGAGGAGGAGGAGGAGCAGGAGTTCAAAGTCTTCTAGTGGCACGGGTTCATCTCCTACAAACGCTCGCACGATCATCTTCGCTGGCGCCGCGGGCAAGGCCACCGAGGGCCTGACGGGCACCGACGGCACCCTGGGACAAAACGGGCCGATGTTATCTTCGCTCCCCTGCTCGCTTTGCTGGCGGCGGGGGGGAGGAGGGGTCACTTTCAGATGGCCCTCAGCAAAGGCCGCACACAGTCCGAGGCGGTGCGCCAGGTCATCACGCACCCCGCAGTGCCTGCAGGTGCCCGCGCTCTCGTCGTAGCCCCACTCGGCCATCTTGGCGCCCGTGAGGTAGGTCCCCCCCACGACGGAGGCGACGGCCCACTTCTCGAGCGGGGCGAGGTGCTTGCTGCCAAGGGTAGCCGCGATCACCTCCCACCAGACCTCAAGCAGGGCCTCCTCGTCCAGGTTCTCTCGGCGTCTCACGCTGTCCGTGGCACGCTCGCGGACCCTGTCCAGCACGTCGCGCAGGTAGAAGTACTCCATCCTCTTGGGGCGTGCTCGAGGGCCGAAAGGCGGCCAAACCGTGGAGACACGAAAACCGTCGCACTCTCCACCGACCAGCCTGCGACCACTGTTGCCTTCAGCGCTGCTCCTATTGCCCCTGCCTCATGGGCCCCGTTCTGGTTGTCCTGGAGGGCTTGCCCGTAGGTCCTGCGCAACGTCGTGACGGGCAGCACCTTGCCGTGGCGGTGCCTATCGTCGGTTGCCCTCCACCATTCTTCTAAGTAGCGGCCCAGGGGCACGAAAGCGGTCTTGCCCAGGGGATCGATCTCGGGGTACATGGCGCCGAAAACGTCTGGCGACATGTGGCTGTGCCCGTAGACCTGCTTGGTGATGCGCCTCATGCCGTCGAGCTCCTGGACCGTGAACCCGCTGACCTCGCCTCCCCACTTCTTCATGGCCAGGATGGCCGTGTGCAAGATGCGGCGGGTTTGCCGAAATGCCTTCATCGCTCGGAATGCCATATTCAATATTTTCTTTGCTGTCTTCCACCTCTTGCCACGCACAGGTCCAGGGTGAATGCTGCGCACGACGATGCCGTGCCGACGGCGGCCAGCCCGAAAGTCAGCTCCAAGAATGGCGCACCGTCGCCTGGGGGCGGCGGGGGCGTGCCCGGCGCGGCGGCGCCCTCGGGCGCTGCGCCGCGGCGGCGAACTGCTCAGGCTTAGGCAGGCCCAAGCTCGCCAGCCTTCGCATGCCCTCCGTGGTGACCACGTCGCTGTTGCCCAGGATGGTGCCCTTGGCGTCGGCAACCTGCATCTGGAGCCCTCGCGCCGCCTCCACCATGA